TCATTAAGGTTAGGCAAGGGCTTCACCCCTGCCTGACCTTTGTCCCCAGCCTTGGAGACTTTGATTCTCTATGGAAGCTTGAGAGTCTTGGAAGATAGGCCAGAAAAGGCCACACATGGGGACCCAGGAGGCAGGTGAGTGATCAGACCACAGTGAGAGTCGGGAGACTGGCTAGCAAGGAGAAAGTTTTAGTTTCCTCGGCTTCAACAAAAGGGACAAGGCCCAGTGTCCTCCATGGAGGGGGTATATGGAGGCAGAGCCGGCTGGGGTGGGGGTGGGGAGCATCGAATATTGACAAACCAGCTACCCCCCTGCAGACCGCCAGGTCACAAGCTAGGAGGGAACAGAAGAAAAGCCAGGTCCAGGAAGTCACCTGGATGTGTTTCTCAAACTCGAAGACGCCACACAGAAATGAGCACAGGTTCCAGTTCTTCACAGCAACCGTCAAAATAGGCAAAACTGGATAGTAGCTGTTTTTAAAAAACATCCTATTAGAACCAGAATGGTGTGTGCTTTGTGGCTCAGGAAGAGCCGGCAGTTGGAAAGGGGCCCAGGGCCTCCCAGGGGTTGGTAGGTTCTGTGCTGGGAGTTTGCTTCGTGATTGGTTAAGGAGCTGTGCCCTGGAGGGACATCCCAAGGAAAGGAGCTGTCTGAAGGCAAGTGAGGTTTCAATCTGAGATTACGATTCCTTTCTTCAATAAGTTAAAAATATTTGTCCTCAACTCACAACTTCCCAGGTGAATTTGAGACTACCAAGGAACCCTGGACTGTTCCTAAATACAGTTCCTAAAGACATGTGAATCAGACCCACCGTGGGGTGCGCTGCGCCTGGCATGGGTTATGGACCCAGTGCAGCCGGACCTGACTGGGAACTTGGGCCCTCCCTCCCCCACTGCTTCTGGGCGTAGTCAACTGGGGGATGACAGGGAAAAGTGCAGAGGCCGGGCAGGCCTCCCCTCCTGGACATTCCTCTTGAGATGGCAAAGTAAAGCACCTTAGTACCGACAAGCCAGGAGAAGCCAGCCTAGCCAGACCACTGGGCAGGTCGTGAATCCAGGTCCCATTCCACATCCAGAGTCATGTGCAGCAATTAACTTCCCCCACAAGCTACAAAAAAAAGTCATGAACTGCCATCAAAGTTGACTGCGGAATTTTGGCGATCTTTCATTCACCTTAAATTTTTGCCTTCAAGCAAAAGGAATTAGTGATGTTTGAAAAGTCTCCTGGGGCATCATGGGAAATTCTTCCAAACCAGGAATTTGGGCGGGAGCCAATAAACAGGAAGCACAGGCAGGCAGGGGTGTATCAGGGCATCCCTTAGCAGCCACCCCAGTCTTCTGAGGAGACTCTGCGGGATCCCAGTCCTTGGGGAACAGACTCTCTGCTCCTTTACTGTGATTTGATGGGGGAGCCTGCAGGTCCTGGAAGTGTCGTTGAGATGAGGCGGTTGGCCGCACAGTGCGCTGACTGCATTTTCCAGGGAAGGCCTGAGAGAACAGAAGATGGCCCTACCTCTTGCCACCTCCTCCTCTTTAAAATTTTATTTATTTTGGTCTTTTTGAGATAGGGTCTCTCTGTAGCCCCAGCTAGCCGGAAACTCGCTCTGTAGACCAGGCTGGCCTTGAACTCACAGAGATCCGCCTGTTTCTGCCTCCCGAGTGCTGGGATTAAAGGCGTGCACCACCATGCCCGGCTCCTAAATATTTATTTTATAAGTGTTTTGCTTCCGTGTATGTAAGTGCACCACGTGCATGCAGCTCCCTAGAGGCCGTAAGATCCTCTGGAACTGGAGTTAAGACTCCTTGTGGGTGCTGGGGCCCAAACCCGGGTCCTCTGCCAGTGCTCTTAACCGCTGAGCCGTCTCTCTAGCCCTATGGCCTTGGCCTTTCGTTGGTCGGCCTTGGCTACATTAAGCTTCCGGGGCCACGAAGAAAGGGAAGATTGCTGTAGTCCAGCCCTGTGTGCAGAGGGCTCTGGAGTTGCACAGGCTTAAGTCTCGACACTGTCCCTGCTCTGGGGACTTGGAGGGCGCCCGCCCCCCGCCCTCCCCAGGGCCTTGGCACCGCCAGCGCCGCACAGGTGGAGCGCCCCACGTCCTGTGCGATAGTCGGCGGGGCTGTTCTGGGGTAGAGAGGGAGGCTTCCGCGCGCAGGAAGGAAAAGAGGGGCTTATGGAGTGTCTCCTTTGCAGTGGTCGAAGGGCACGCGTTGAGCGGAACCTCTCCAGGCTGCTGCATGCCCAAGCCGGAGCCGCGTCCACGCAAGCCGAGCCCGGACCCGGAGGGATGCCGGCTTGGACTCAGTGCCGAGTGGAGCCTGGCAGACTTGACATCTCTGAGCCTCAGTTTCCCCACGTGTAGCGGAGGGTGCGAGTGGTGCTGCCCTCTCTGGCGGTTAGGCGCGTTGCAGGGCCCCGGTTAATCCGCACGTGGCAGGGACTCGGGCGAGTCCCCCTGGGTCTAGCCGCGGCTGCGGTCCTCCTCTGACCTTCCCCCACCATGTATCGTGGGCAACCGGAGGTTTGCAGGGCGCTCACATGAGGCCTGGGGGAGGGGGCTCTTGAGCTCCGGGGTCGCCACGTGGGGAGAAGGTAGGCGACCGGGACACGCCCAGCCTGGCCGCCAGGGGGCGCCCTGCGCTTTCTCTGAGCCCCAAACCTGCCTTGGAGGCTCCGCCCCTCCACCCCTGGGAGTCCAGCCTCTGCTCTCCCTCCCTGGGACACGGATCCAGCTGCCTCACTCACAATGTAACGGGTGCCACATCCCCCTGGTATCTGTGTCTACCTCCTGGTCGTCTTTAAGAACCCTGTCCCAACTTCCCGGGGATCCCAACTCCCTGGCCCATCCGGGTTCGGCTGCTGGGGCCAGGGGACTGTGAGCATCTTTAACCACAAAGAAGACAAAAAAAGTGCCATGGCTTAGGGATAACCGAGCAAAAAGAGCGTAAGCGCAGGCAGCCTCCCCATGCACCCTGGACAGCCAAGGACCCCAATGTTAAGTCTTTGAAGAAGCAGACCTCTAGCTGGCTTCTGCCAGTGGGTACCCACTGTTGTGCACTTGATACAAAACAGCCTACTGCTGGCGGTGTTTGGCCAGGAGTAACTCCTCCATCTGAGGTTCAGGGCAAACAGCGGCCCAGCCAATGTGGTTTGCCTGCCGCCCTGCACCTCCCCCAGGTGGTCTCCTTGCACCTAGTAACCCAGGGGGTCTCCAACCTTGTAACCCAGGGGGAAAACAGGCAGATACTTAAAAAAAAAAAAAGACAATTTTCTCTCCCGAAGATCTCTGATAGCTGAGGAGAGGCAGATCTCCACAGAGCTTTGGGGACACCCCTGTTGTGATGAGACTGTGGGTGGCCTGCATGAGACTGGCCACATTTCCAGACAGCCAGCAGCCCTACTCCAAGGCCTTGGTAAATCACTTGGCTCCAGAAGTCACTTATAGGGACCTGCCACTCCCATCTCAGGCTTCTGAGAGAATCTTTCATTACTCCTGACCCTCTCCTCTGCCTCTGGTTCCAGCTGACTGGGTTGGGGCAAAATGCTCTGAGCTAGACCAACTGGAACTTTGAAGAATCTGAAAGAGTACAGAGGAGCATGGCTTTAGAGCTAGGGTGATGGCAGTAGAAACAGCACCATCTAGAATAATGAAGCCAAGGTTTCTGGGCTGGATCCCCAGCCCTAGCTGCCTGAGTCCTCTGGACCTGGGGCAAGGCATCAGAGCAGCTCAGTGCTGGCACCTACCCTGAGGTCATCCGGCACAACTCCCCCACATCAGCTGCTGCTTCCACAGCCTTGGGTGGATCAGTCTGTTGCCCCTAACCCTGAAGAAGCTGGAGGGGGCCCAGTGACCACCCAGTCTGCTCTCTAACAGCCAGCCCAGAGGACAGGGCTAAAGAAAATGATTGGCCTCCTGTCTGATTTTATAGATGAAGAAACTGCTGGTAAGCCTCAGAGCCCTTTGAGGTGGTTAGTACCACATCTGCATTTTGTAGACAGGGAATAAGACATAAATGTGACCAGCCATGTGAACACAGGTAAGTTAGGGGGGGGGGGTCAGAGGCTGGTTCCCCACTATGGTGCAGGTGATAGCCCAGCTCACAGACTCTGCAGAGGGCCTGGTAGCCACGGAGCTCACAGACAGGATCTGCTACAGCCCTCTGCCTACCCTGAGCCCAGGAGCATCTTGTTCCCTCCGCAGTTCCTGGATCACCAGGGTCTGCCTTCTCTTCTCTTGGCTTCAGGGAGCCACAGAGGCCAGATCTCATTGTACTTTGGCTATGTCAGCCACCCAGGGGCATCTGGGAAGAGCCCAAAGTTTCTCTGTACAGAGCTTCCAGAGCCCGACATGAATTTAAGATTCATATGCCAGGACCACTATCTACTAAGGGTTCACACCCTGGATGGCACACCCTGGATGGCACAGCCAGGGGCTTGAAGTCCAGTTCCGCCAGGCATTGGCTGGTACACCCTGGACAAGTCATTCCCCCTGTCTGGGTTTATATACTTATAAAATGGAGCCTGGGTTTGGGATTCTGGGTTCAACTTGCTAAACATGACTCTGAACTGGCTCACCAGTTCTGCCCCTGAAGGATACGGGCAAATGCAGGCAGAGACATGGACCGGGATTCTCCCAAGGCCACCTTGAGGGAAAAGCTGGATTAGAAACATACTCCCTCCTCTGGATAGCTCTGGTCTTGACTAAGCTTGAGGCATCTCTGGGTAGAAACTGCCAGGGACAGTGTGCAGACACCACTGTGGCATATGCTGTATATTCTAGGGATGGCTCAGAAAGCGCAGGCTGGCCTGCCTAATCCTAAAGTAAGGGTGAGAGGAGGGATTTCCAGGCTAGGGGCAGGACAGGGCTTGTGTATGCCTCTCTCTCTCCTCTCTCTCCTCTCTCTTCTCTCTCTCTCTCTCTCTCTCATGGTAGGGGCGGCAGTGGTGAGTTTCTCGCTCTCAGGGTGCCCTCACTCATTCGTCTTCATCCATCTGCTCTCGCTCTCTCTCTCTCTCTCTCTCTCTCTCTCTCTCTCTCGTGTCCCTGCTGTTTCCACTTCATCCAGGCTCCTCCTGACCCAGAAGAGAAGTAGGGGGAAGGGGTCTAGGTCACACAGAGGCCAGGGCAGAGTTGAATGGGATCCAAGCCTCTGCGGGACTATCAGTGTCTGGACACCAAAGCCACTGGCCAGCCACACATCTGCAGGGACAGTGGAACCGCCAGGCCTGGGAGGTCCCTCCCCAAGGGAGACCAGTAGGCAGCAAGCTTACCTCTCCTCCCTATTTCCTCGTCTCACCCAGGGTTGTAACACTGGCCTCCCAGAGCTCAAGAGATTAGCTGTGGTTATAACTGGGAAAGGGGACCAGCTCCTCTCCTGCTTCACAGCTCACCCTGCCTGAAGCTCATGGTTGGAGGACAGACAGGTTGTTCATTGGCGTCCACTTGTGTTCAATGTGCCAGGTGTTCAATGTGTGTGCATTGAACATTAATCTCTGAAAACACTGGGTGATACCAGTCCTGCTTTTACACAGAAGGAGAAACTGAACTCAGCTTAGCTAGTCTCTCTCCTCTCCCTCTCCCTCTCCCTCTATCTCTCTTATCTGACCCAGGGCCAGGGGTGGAGAATAGGAAAGTAAGAAAGGGGGGGAAGGGCAACGATAGGAGCCTTATGCATGTTCCCCTAGCATGAAAGCCAGCAGAGATACACACTCCCCTGGGCACAAGGCACCAGAAGGGAGCAAGGCAGACCCAGCCCTGCCCCTCAGACCACATCAACCAATAAGGACACAGGAAACAGACCCCCCCCCAACCCCCAAGAGTGCTCTCAGTTCACCTGTGTGTGGGGAAGCTGCTGTGCAGGGAGGGATAGAAGGGGAGGGTGATTTGTCCAGGGGTTGGAGCAAGGCCCAGAGCTCTGAAGGAGCAGGAGGTGGCTTGGGGGACTGGTGTTCCTTACAGAAAGCTAGGAACAAGACAAGTCCTGGAGCCAGAGCTCCAGGGAACTGGACAGATTCAGCAGGAAGGCAGAGGGTATGATTGCTCAAAGAAGGGATTTGAAGTTGTTTTCTGGAGCCATTGAGGGTTTTCAGCAGGGGTGGCAGGGTCAGATTCAGACTAGAAATGTTTGGTGACTGCAGACCAGTTAGGAGGTGCAAAATGTGTCCAGATCACCAGGGCCCCAAGTAAGAGATATTGAAGGCCTGGACCAGCTGAAGGTCCGGAGCAGGAGAGTAACAGCAGGGAAGAACCCAGCTGGTTTCAAATGAAAAGGGGTTGGAAAGGGCAGAGGGGAAAGGAGAAGGGCAGGGGCCTGCTGACCTTGCTGTACTCTGGTGGCCAGTGGGGCCCTTCACAGGGGAGACCAGGAAGGTGTAAGTACAGAAACCGATCAAGGAGCTGTCTAGTGGCTGAGACTGGGCTTGTGGCCCAGGTCAAAGGAGTCTCAACACCACGGGAGACAGGTGGGCCAGGGAGGAAGGATAGGTGCAATCAGCAAGTGGGAGAGGTTGCCACCTGGAGTGGGGTCCGCACTGACTGGATGCCTCCCAGGCTTTGACCCCTAAAAACCAAGACCCGGGGGAGAGAACTGCGCAAGCCCAGGAGCGGAGGCATCAGTGTGCCGGAAGGCGGTGGAAAATCAACCGGCTGGAGGGTCTCGAGCCACGGAGGCACAGGACAGCGCCGCGGGGAGCGGCCCGCGGCGTCCTCTCTCCTTCCAGCCCGACGGGAGGTCGGAGAAGGTCGGGGGTGGTGTCCGACCGGCAGGGCGCACACAGGTCTCCGCCTCCCGCACTGCGGCCTCCTCGTGGGCGCTGGCGGTCCTCCGGCCGGGGAATGCGAGGCCCGGGCTGAATGCAGGCGGCGGGGGTCGCGGGCATCCCGCAGCCGGCTCTCATTAGCGCGCTCCCGCCCGAGCCGGGGACCGCACGCTAATCAATCCCAGGCCGGAGGTTCCGAGGGCCGCGCGGCGCCCGCATCATGGAAACTGGCTGCGCTCCCGAAGGGCGGGGCTCACCGTACCGTCGGGGCCTGGCGGGGTGCGGGGCGGGCGCGCCATCGAGGCAGATGGAGGCGGCGGGACAGGATTCGGTCCTCCGAGGGGCCCGGGAAGGCGGCGCGGGGCGGGGCCGGGGCGGAACTCGCGGAGACCCAGGAGGCGCCGGGCAGAGCCTCGCGTGTACTCGGACCCTGGGCCGGCCGGGCGGAGCCAGGTGAGCAGAGCGCGGGCCGCACTTCGAGCCTTGGAGCCGGGCCGCCCCCGCGGGCGCCCAGCAGGCAAGGCCGGGCCTGGGGCCTTTCTGGAGTTGGGCCGGCCCGCTCGCTCTGCTGCAGGCGGGGAGGGAGGCCACAGCGGGGACAAGGCGGGTCTCCGGGTCGCCCCCGTGCTGTGGCCAGAGCGCCGGACCCCGGCTACCTTTCCTGAGGTCCTCAGCTGCGAGTTCGGCCCGGGCCCTGCGGCTGCAGTGGCTTCGCTCCCGGGACCCCGCGCCTCCTCCTTCCCTAGGCCTACCGCGGTGCAGAGACCACTGGGGAGCGAAGACGCCCCTTCCGGACAGCTAGGCCCGGACCTTGCGCCCCGCGCCTCCCTGCCGTGGGGCCCTCGCGGCCCGGCCTCCTGGAGCCGCTCAAGAGCGCGGCCCGGACCCTGGGGTGCAGGGGCGGTGCTGCTCTGGCCGGGACGCGGCCCACGGAGGCCTCGGGCGGAGGAGGCTGGAAAAGAGGCCAGGCGGTGGGAAGGGGGGAATGATTCATCCCGAGGAGCCCGAATCGGAAACACCGCAATCTGGGCCGACCGGAGAACTAGCAGGGGAGTCCGTCCGGCGAGGACCTGCGCCCAGCTGGGCCAGTCCCCTGCCTCCTGCTCCGGCCCTAGCCTGGCCGCGGGGGGAGGGGGAGGCCCCTTCGGAGGAGTGTTAAGAAATCCTGCTCCAAGTCCGTCGCTGCCTCCTCTGCTCTGACTGGCTGGTCTGGCTCAGAGCGGTCTTCACAGAGTCTAGCTCAAGTCTCTCCTGCTACAGCTCCAGTGCTGGCTGAGGAAGTCTGGAAGGAGGGGGAGAGCAAGGAGAAGCTGGAGTCAGTGACACCCCCTCCTTCCCACTCTGCGGTATGTACAGCGCAGTAGGGGGGAGGTAGGGCGCGCCAGCGACCTGCGGATCGGGCTGATCGCCCCCTCCCCGGGTTACTACGGTGCAGCCACGTGCGGGGGTGGGGTGGAGCCCGGGAGGTACTTACCCTAGCCGCAGCTGCCCGGGCCCCGCACGTCCCCAACCCGGGCCCCGCAGGCAGTCGGAGAGGGCGCAGGCTGCAGAAGCCCCGCAGCCCGGGGCTGCACCAGGGAGCCGCCCGCAGCCCCCTCCTGCGCACCGGCCCGGCCAACCCGGGCTTGTGCCGCGCGTCCCTGGCTCCCAGCTCCGCTGCGGAAAACCCGAGCGGGGGCGGCTCCCTGCCTCGGAGCCCGGGAAAATCCGGGGGTGGCCGCCAGGGATCTCCAAGCGGCCGGGCCGAGGCGGTCCGAGCGATCCTCTCCCGGACCTGGGCGCCGAGCCCCGGCCCGTCGGTTCGATCCCCGCCTCGCATCTTGTCCCTGCAGAGTGCCCGGACGACAGCGCGATGACGGCCAGGAGCCCCGGAGAGCGCCCCGAGGGCCGTGTCTCGCGCTTGGGCCGCCGCCTGGGCCGGCGCCGGCGGCCGCGCTCCCCGCCAGAGCCGCTGCGGGTGCGGGCGCGGCTGCGGCTGCGCTCGCCGTCGGGGGCGTTCGCGGCTCTGGGCGCGCTCGTGGTGCTGGTGGGCATGGGCATCGCGGTGGCTGGCTACTGGCCACACCGCGCCCCGGGGCCGCGCGCTCACAACGCCAGCACGCCCAGGCTCAGCCCCGGCCGGGCGCACGAGCGGCTGCGGCTGCTGGGACCGGTGATTATGGGCGTCGGCCTGTTCGTGTTCATCTGTGCCAACACGCTCCTGTATGAGAACCGGGACCTGGAGACGCGACGGCTCCGCCAGGGGGTGCTGCGTGCGCAGGCGCTCCGTCCGCCCGACGGCCCAGCCTGGGACTGTGCGCTGCTGCCCAGCCCAGGACCCAGGACTCCTGGGGTCATCGGCTGCGCAGAGCCCGAGACTTGGGACCTGTCCCCGCATCGGGGCACATCGCCCGTCCCGTCAGTGCGGAGTCTGCGTTCGGAGCCTGCCAATCCTCGCTTGGGGTTACCCGCCCTGCTCAACAGCTACCCGCTGAAGGGGCCGGGGCTGCCACCGCCCTGGGGTCCACGGACTCAGACTGGCCACGTGGTCATCACGGTGCAGCCCTCTGGTTCCTGTATTGAACATTCCAAGTCTCTGGATCTGGGCCTTGGGGAGCTCCTCCTGGGGGCCCCAGCAGCTCGGGACTGCACTCATCGAAGCTGGCCACGGCTGGACCGCCTCAGTTTGGGGGGCTATGCCAAACTGGGAGGGGACTTAGGGGCCCAGGTCTGAGGTCAGGGGACAACCTGTCGTGAGGCCACAGTGTGGACCATGGTACCTGGACAGGGACACCAGAAGTCCCCGGTGTCTAATAGCTGCCTCAATCACCTCCCACGGTAGGACGGACTCTCAGACAACAGCAAAGTCCTCCTGACCTTCATGTGCAGAGAAAAGCCAGCTGCACCAGGCTCAGTGAGCCCCAGCCAGTGTGTTTTTAAGGTGGAGACCAGCATGACTCAGCCTTAGGAATTTCTTCAGCCCATGTGGCCTTAGCCCCCGTTCAGGTACCTGAGGGGGGCTGCAGGGCCAGGCCAAAGGAATCTGGAGATGCACCCTGGTAACTCGGCAAACTCAAAGTAGTAGGCAAGCATACCTAAGACCCGGAAGGTAGGTTGGGATGTTGTAGGCTGGGACAGGCTCCCTCCAAGGTGGCAGTGACAGAGGTGGGACCTCTGGGGGTTTGGGGGGCAGGGAGATAGGCAATGGGGTGATGCCATCTAGGACCAGGACTGAGCCTGTAACTCCTATCACCTCAAATCCATCTGCCCTTAGCGGGTGGGGATCTGTCCCAGTAGGGCTAACCACTGCCAGCAGACTCTTGAGGTCAGACCCCTCCCCTGGAGACAGGACTGGGAAGCCCCTTTCTCTTCCATCTGGCTGGTGCTGCAAAGTCTCCCTTAAGTTGGTAGAAAGGACCAGCCAGTTGGCCAGGTCTTGGCAGTCCCTCTCTGTAGTTCACTCTGGAGTGGTAGGTAGCTTACTGGAGAGAGCAGCTTTAGGTTTCCCTTGCCCAGGTTTAAATTCCCCCAAGCTGCTGGTAGAAGAGAAATTTAAAAGCAGATCGATCCTCACAGTCAAGTTTTTTTTTTTTAAGTTTATTGAAAAATGCAATACAAGAAGCCAGACCAAACATATCTAAACACTACAACCACACTTGTTACTATGAAAGGCCAAAACTGCAGACCTGATTATTGCCTATTTCACCTAAGGATTTTTATCAATTTGATTCTGCTGCCATAGTTCCTATTTTGTCAAATGTAAACAACTACTTGATATGAATAATTTTTAAAAAATTTACAAAGCTCCTTCATTTTTGTCATCAAAATATCAAATGTATATTTGAGAAAAATTTGTAAAAACAACCAGCCTGGGGCTAAGGTCCTGGGAAGAGATTTCCCGTGAGCACTGAGGGGTACTGGTCAGCTCTAGCTCCATTTCTCAAGGTAGGCCAGGGTCCCCTAACCAGGCTGTGCAGCATCCCCCAGAATACACTGGCTTGGGGAGGGACACAGACACCCACAAGGATCCCTGGAGTTAGGCTCTTTGGCCCTCAGCTTGGGAATATGGGTATTACTTGTGGGTGGCAGAGATCTCGTGGTTTGAAGGAAATCTACTTCTGGAGTAAAAATAAAATCGCAGTGCAAGTTGCTACTGTGGTGTGTCTGAGTCACTTTAGGAAAACTGCTGCCAAGTCTCTGACCCTGGAGATGGTTCTCCCTCCCCCCTCACCATTTCTACCTGGACAGAGTCTCTTATTCACACACACATAAACACACACAACTGCAGAAAGAATCCAAACAATTACCATAATCCCAAGATCTGTTGCCAGCAAAGGAGGCGGAGAAGCTTGGAAGGACATCAGCACTCTGGTCCAATTTCCAGACAAAGGTGGCAGACAGTAAAAGTTCAGGCCCTTAGGTCTGGGGTCCTGTGCTAGGAAAGCCCTCATATTGATGGGGACAGCACAGAGTACAGTGCAGAATGGCCCTGTGTCCTCTCCCCTTCCCCATCTCCCAAGTTTCAGCTTTGAGCCCCCAAACTCCAGCTGGCGGAGGAAGCAAGCTCATGCTGCTGCATGCATGCTGGATGGGAGCATCCACTGTTGGCAACACAGCCCCACACATCTTTTCTGACCTGTGCTGCAGCCTGTAAGTTTGCTCCTGAGAGGAAGAGGAACCCAAACCTGCTACTGCTGCACCTGGGCTCTCCCTTCCCTTCTTGGAGCAAACTGCTTGTTGGTAATAACAGCCTCATGGGAACTAAAAGAAAAATCTGCACACTGAAAATCAGTTCAAAGCTGCACAGTTCATCTAAACAGCGGCCAGTGGAGGCCGGAGACTGCTGTGGTTTCCAACTTCCCCCATCGCTGCCGTTCAGCCCCTAGCCACTGCTGTCAATGACTTCTTGTCAACCCTCATCAAGTTCATTTCTAGTCAAGAATTAGGATTCTGACAAGCTTCAAGTCAGGTCTGTTTGTAGGGAGCAAGCTGGAAGGTTAGAGAGGCACTGTTAAAAATCAATGCCCCCAAAGCCAAAGTCTTACCACCAATCAAGGACTCCAGGCCTCCTTTTCAAAACCAAGATGAAAAAACCCCAAAGAAACTAAATCAAAACCCACCATAAAATCAACCCCACCAAACCTGACAGACTGCTTAGGCAGTGAGTGGGGATGAGTGGCCCCCAACCGTCCTGTCCAAGGATGGTCACTAGGCGACAAACACCCTTGCTCCAAAAGGGTGTCCTCAAGCAGCTGCCTGTCAAGAGGAGAAAAGTCAGAGCCCATGACTTCTTCTCAGAGCCCCATCCTTTAGCACCCCAGGCTGGGGCAGCTGGAAGCATTCCTGAGCAGGATCTGCCTGGGTGAAGAGCACTCCCCGAACTAGAAGACCTGATTTTTAGAACCTCATTAACTTCCCTTCCCCAAACCACAACTAAAATGTTCCATTGGTGCTTTTGGCCAAAAGTGCCTAATTTTTCCATGCGTTCTGGTCTCCTGAGATGGGAGCTTGGGGAGCACTTGGCAGAGCTGCTGCTTCGGATGAGGTACAAGGGTAGCTGGGAAGGTGAAGGCCACAGATATGTTCAAACATTCACAGTATCAGATCTATGTGAAGCAACTTATGTCTCTGACCTAAAGACTCTCCAAAACAGAATTTGAGAAAGGGAAGAAACATGATGCCTGCAAACTCAGCAAAGGCCTCCACCTCACCAAACACTCTTGCCACGGGAAAGGACATTTTTGTGGGGTTTGTAGATCAGGGCAGTTGCTCTGCCTGACACAAGCTGGCTCAGAGAAAGAGCTGGTGCATGAAGGTTCTGCATCCTCCAAAGGTATAAAGCTAGGGGAGGAGCAAGGAAGTCCCGCTGAGCTGGCTTTGGCCTCTAACACAGCTGCAGTCTCTGGAGGGTCCTTGAGAGGCCTGTGGACCCTGTTGGTGTCTGGGTTGGAGATAAGTGAGGAGAGGCTAGGTTGAAGGGGTCACCAACCACCCCATAAGAAACAAAAAAATGCCTTAAAAACAGTTCTTAGAGTGAAAAGTTGATCAATTTCTGGCATCACAATATAGAAAAAAGTCCTCAGAAGGATCAGGGTATCTAGAAGAATCTCTTGGTATAAATTCCAAATAGAAAATGAAGCTGATTTTCTGTGGTGCAGTCTGAAGTCTGACTGTTGCAGGCTGGCTTCTTTACTGCTTGCTGGTTTCTCTTGGATGGGAAAAGGACAGGGGTGGGGAGAGGATGGTTCCTAAAGGAAAGAGCACATCTTTAACCCTGCAAAGGAAGAAGCTTCCCAGCCCATGGTCAAGCTCTTGTGGGCTGCACTGGGTCTGCCCTACCCAGCCATGATGACTACTGCAAATTCTCTGCAGGCTACGTGTAGGCATGCATTTATCTGGATCCCTGGATCCCCAATGCTCTAGTCTGACCCTCAGGGCTCCAGCCATTTTTTCCACTCTAGCCCCACACTTCAAGAAGCTTGGTCCTGCTCTTCTGTTCTCTGGTCCTCTCAGGTTCAGACCCAGAGGCTCTGGAGTTGCCAAGGGTGAAGAGCAGTGAGGTCTGGGGACAGGAAAGTGCTGAAGCAAGAGCTAGGTGGACTCAAGATGGTGAGTGTTCTTATCCAAGTCTAGGGTACCTCCTACTATCCAATGCTGTTGGCACACTAAGGCAAAGGACACAGATGACCTGGTTCTCTAGTTAGAGCCAAGCAGTTAAGAGTAGTCTCTGCCTTTGGTTCATTAAGTCCCACCGAGGACATCTCTTGGTGGTCAAGGGCTCCCCAAGTGTTCAGGGTTCCTGTAAGAACTTTCTTGGGCTGGGATGGTGGCACCCCCTGTCCCAGCAGGAGCACCCTCTCAGTAGGGATACCCCCTACCTGAGCTCACTCCTCAGAGATCTCAGTCTCCTGGTGGACGACCACCTTGGTCACTGACATGTCTGGGTGCTGCTCCTTTGCCTCCTTGATGGCTTGGACAAGGACCTGTGAAAGACAGAGGCAAAGCTGGTCAGGCAAAAAGCAGCCAGGCTGGTGAAGGAAGCCTGGGTCATTTCTTTGGCAATGGCAGCACTAAGGTAGCAGGTAGGCTAGGCCAAGTGGATCAGTGCCTTGCCCTCCCCTATCCTGCAGAAGGAGGCTCCTGGACCCACAGAAGCAGGGAAGGAAGAATGCCTGTGACATGCCAGGTTCTGGCCTAAGCGCAACATTTATTTACTTAATCTCACAACTGAGTGAATCATGTGGTGCCATGACTGACTTCCATTCTATGGACAGGAAGCTGCAGGCCACAGACACATGCTGCTAGTCTGCTGGGAACACAGGGCTTTTGAGTCTATCAGGTTCCCTTCTTTATCACTCTGTCCTTTAGGTTCCAGGGCTTCAATTTGAGACCCTGAAGGAATCTGGATTATTGTAGAATAGCTACAGCTCAAAAAGCACAGTCACAGAAAGGTGGTAACATCACTGTCCTGGTACCATGTCAGAAATGATGATGGGACTGGAGAACTGGCTCAGCAGTTAAGAGCACTGACTGCTCTTACGGAAGACCTGGGTTCGAATCCCAGCACCCACATGGCAGCTAACAACTGTCCAGAACTCCAGTTCCAGGGGATCTGATGCCCTCTTCTGTCCTCTGTGAGCACTATAGAACATGGATGCATTTATACACAGGCAGGCATAACACTCATACACATAAAATATAAATTTTAAAAAATTTCAGGGGCTGGAGAGATGGCTCAGTGGTTAAGAACACTGGTTGTTCTTGCAGAAGACCCAGGTTTGAATCCCAGCACCCATGGTAGCTAGCAACTGTCTGTAACTCCAGTCCCAGGGGATCTGACAGCCTCTTCTGACCTCCAAGGGCAATGCATGACACGGGTGCACTTACCTACATACAGGCAATACACGCATACACATAAAATTTAAAAAAAAACAAAAAACAACCCCCCCCAAAACAAATCGTGTCTTAAAAAAATTTTTTTTTCAATTAAAAAAAAAAAAAAAGAAATAATGAGCTGACTGCTGGTTCCCAAAGACAAGGGGAGAGGGCCATTTTCTTCTGGTCTCTTGAGTCCACAAAAGGCATTCTTGGGCTACCTCATTCCATCTCTGCTGGCCCCTGCTCCTCCTCTCTGACCTGTCCACTACACTCCAGGCTCAGCTCAAACCCTCTCTCTGGAGACTCCACCTCCCTCTGTAGAAAGTCTACACTCCATTTCTTCCCCAAACTTCTTTTTAAAGTACCTCCTTCCCCAGTCAGAGAGCACTGCATCTCCACCCTCCCACAGAGCCCTCGGTTCCTAGCTCTCTCTGAGCCATCAAATGTCTTGACATCATCCTGACCTGTGGTGATCTTCACCTTGCAGAGGTTAAAACCATGGCTCAGAAATGATGAGTTACTCAAGAGTACACAGCAGGTAAGGGGCTGAGTTAGGGCTCAGTCTAGGCCCATTTCACTCCAAGCACCTTCCATCCCACAACTCTTGCTAGCTAGCACAGACTGAGCGAGCGCATAGCAAGGTTCAAACCAGAGGTGTTGCAGGCTGGTAACGGGGGCCTCACTGAGTAAGGCAAACAGGCTGCAAGGCCCCCCACTGGCTTTGCATCCTTGCTTCTGGGACCCCAGAACAGTATTCTCAGCTGGGAGCCTCAGTCCTGCTACCCAGGGAACTGTAGACATTGCAGCTGTGCTTTCCAGATCTTAAAGCATTCAGCCCATCTGCAGAAGGGCCATAGTCCCTGCTCTGACACGCCTAATGATGATGCCACAAGCATTTGCATGCAGTCTCTCCCACCCCCTCTCCTCTACAGCTTCACTGCTCCAACCTCACCCAGCAGAGAATTGGGAACATTAATTCTGACCTTATTATTTGCTAATTGCTTGTAGCACACAATTAGCACCTAATTAACATAAAAACATAGAATTTGAGCACCCAGAAGGGCCCAGGAATTATCTGGATCAACCTACTCTCTTTTAGAGAAGAAAAACATCTGAGGAAAAGTGAGTTACCCAAGGTCACATGGCAAGTTGGTGATAGAGCTGGGGCGGGGTGGGGGGGTGTTCTGCAGCTCCTGGGTATACCTGCCTTTTGTTTTTCCCTTCTCTGCCCAGCTGCTGTGGCACCCTGGGTTCAGGACAGTACCTCCCTTGTCTGTGAAATCGCCATTCCTCCTGAATAAGAGCTCCACTGCATGGGAGCCCGCCATACACCTGTCACAGGGATCCTGCATCTTACTTGGTCCTTATAGCCATCTTGAGAGGAGGACATTATCCACCCCAACTTCTAGCTGGGGAAACAGAGGCCCAGAGAGCAAAGAGCTAGAATACAGTAAGAACCAGATCTAGGCCTCAAGTCTTTCTGTCCAAAGCCCACCTTCATATTTTTGGTTTTTTTTTTTTTTTTTTCTTTATTTGAGAATTTGAGACAGAGTCTTGCTGTGTAGCTCAGGCTGACCATGGTGATCTTCCTGCCTCCTCCTCTGGAGTGCTGGGATTGGGTGTGCAGCACCATACCCTGCTCAAGCCTTCCACTTCCTGGCGCCCTCCCCTGCAGCTGCAACACCTCAGACCTCTGTGGTTTGGATTCCCTTTGCTTTGCTTCTGAAGAGTTAAAACTGCCAAAACAGCTGTTTAGAGATGTAGACGGGGCAGAGGAAGAAACACGCCTGTGCTCACCAGTCTCCCCTACATTCCCACCTGATCATGGTCAATATCAGCATCTCCTGTAATCACAATCCTCTTTTCGATCCGAGTCTCGGAAATCCCGCCTTTCACAGTCTGTAAGCAAAGGAAGAGGGCCACATGAAAGCCATAACACAACAGGAAAGAAAACAGCCTAGAATATTCTGAAGGCTCCACTCCAAACCATTTTGTTTACTTGTTGTTTTTTGTCTTTTTGAGACAGGGTCTCCCTGTAGCCCCAGCTGGCCTGGAACTTGCTATGTAGACCAGGATGGCCTTGAACTCACAGAGATCCTCCTGCTTCTGCCTCCTGAGTGCTGGGATCACAGTCATGCACCATCACATCTGGCAGATTTATTATTTTTCAAGAATGTAGCCTAAGCTGGCTACCATGCTGCCCACACTGCACAGGACAGCGTCTCATCTTGTCTCAGCATTGTGGCAAGACCTGCCTAAATGGGCATCTTGCTCCCTTGGGTCACTACACTCTTCAGTACATGGAACAAAAAGACACAATTCTCTATTTACTTTCGCTTTTTTTTCTTCCCCAATACTACTGAAATTCAGCAAGTAAAAGCAAGGGTCCCTTTCTGCTTCCCTTCTATTTACTTGATTATTTTCAGGATGAAAAAAAATTTTTAGCCAGGAGTGGTGGCGCATGCCTTTAATCCAAGCACTAGGGAGGCAGAGGCAGGTGGATCTCTGTGAGTTCAAGGCCAGCCTGGTCTACATAGCGAGTTCCAGGACAGCTGGGGCTACAAGGAGACCCTGTCTCAAAAGACCTAAAAAACAACAACAGCAACAACAACAACAACAAAAGGCCAGTCGTGGTGGTGCCTTTAATCCCAGTCTTTGTGAGATCTACATAGCAAGTTCTGGGCTAGCTTGGGCTACAGGGAAACTCTGTCTCAGAAACACAAAAGATAAAAGAAAATGCATTTTCCTCTAGTGTTATAGCAAACAGACTGACCTTTGATGATAATTCAAATTTTAGATATTTTGTTCCCCTTGTTTCCTATCAATCATAGCCTAATAATTTCAGTATTTCAGCTTACAAACTATAGTTCCCACGGCCTTGCCTCAGATACAAAAATTATTCATCAGACCAGAGATCTTATTTCTATATCAGAAAATATGACTGCCATAATATCAACAATCCCTGCCTTAAGTTGACTGTGTGCATGTGTGTGCTTATGTGTGCACATGCCTGTGTATGCTTAAGATTGAGCTCACAGCCTTGTGCATGCTAGGCAGATGTTCTACCACGGAACTACACCCCTATCCCAAGCTCACTTTCAGACTTCCTCCACAGCAAGATGTGTAAAGAGAATGACTACATGTGGCCTTAAGAGACTACAGGGGGCAGGCAGGGATACCTGCTAGGTGCATTCTGGGGGAAAGCATCAGGACCTTTCCATCAGGGACACCTGGAGTGATGTGGCTCAATAGTGATGGTGCTGAAAACCTTTGTTTACAACCTGGTTGCCTCTTTCCCAGGATGACAGCCCATGGCTGCTCTGTTACCTTGGTAATCTGAGTCGTGGTAGTGCTGCTTGTGGTCTCAGATGTGATGGTCTGAGCTGTCAGCAGGACTCCTGGATCTAAGTCCCCATTGCTATCATCGGTCTGCAGAAGAAAGCACAATTGATCATGCCCTTCAGGAGTCTTTGGGTCAAACCCTATGGCTCTTAAGCTGTACATTCTGATGCACAAATCTAATTCCCTGACAGTGACCTCTCAATAAGCAGAGTCAATCTCCTGGGAACAAGCTCCTTCTAAAAAAGTTGGTGAGCACAGGTTCCTTTGCATTGGGTCAGTGGACTTGAAAGAAGAGGCTGGAGTGTGGCCACAGCTTCAACAGTGACACTGACTTACACAGGCCCAGCATTCTACAGCTCACAAATGGCTCTAGAACACTTTTATTAATATTCACACTAGACCTGTGAAATCAACAGAAAGGACAGAGTACAGCATCTTCCAGGAAGAAAACTCAGCCTCAGAGGTGAGTGACTTGCCCAAAGACTCAGAACTACCAAGAGGGTGTCATGTTCTCACAGATCTTAGCTCTTCACACAGCATCTGAGGCAGGAGACACACTGACTCCTGGTGGCTAAGGTGTGGATGGGCTGCACCATAGAACAAAGTGGGAAAGATCCTTTCTAAAATTTAAGGCAGCAAAGGATCTCAGAAGCCTGCACACTAGCCAGTCAGAGAGCAGGTTCAACCTTCAACGACTGGGACAGGAAATGAACAAATGAAGCAGAAAGTGTCCCTTCATGAGAACGCAGGAGACACGCAGGATGCCTTTTAGTGAGATTTCTAATAGCAACACTATTATTGGAAAAGGTCCTCCTTGTTGAAAGGGGTTAAAGTATCTTAAATGCTGGTCTACACAAGTAATCGATACAGAGAACAAGGGATCAGGCTACTTACTATGATCAGGTTAAGAAACGACGTTAGCAAGAATCTAAAGAGATGTTGGCAGGAGTCTGGCTCAGTCTGACAAATGTTGTCAACAGATATGTGAACAGTTAGAGCTGCAGAGGCCTCCACAGCCAAGACAGAAGCAGACTGCATGAGGAGTATGGAGTTCACCCACAGCGAGTGCTTTTCAGACAGCTGTGACCTAACATGATGGGTGCTGGTATGGGAGGGGGATTTGGAGAACTGCAATTAATTTCATAAAGTGCCAAATATGGTAGATTACTATCTTTCTCTGCCTTTTCATGTAAGCCATTGTAGTATAAATAGAGGCTGTAAACTTTATTTTTTTAAATTTATTTTTACTATTTAAAATTATATGCATGTGTATTTGTCTCTGTGTGGGTATGTGCACATGAGTACAGGGACCATGGAGGCCAGAAATATTGGATCCCCCTGGAGCCGGTTGTAAGTCACCTGATGTGGGTGCTGAGAACTGAACCTGGGTCCTCTGCAGGAATGGAAAGTGCTCTTAACCACTGACCCATCTCTGCAACCCCTACTCTATCTATCTATCTATCTATCTATCTATCTATCTATCTATCTATCTATCTATCTATCTATCTATCATCTATTTTTGTCTTTTTGAGACAGGGTCTCCCTGTAGTCCCAACTGTCCTAGAACTCGCTATGTAGACCAGGTTGGCCTGGAACTCAGAGATCTGCCTGCCTCTGCCTCCCAAGTGCTGGGATTAAAGGTGTGCGCCACCATGCCCCACATATTTTTGAAACATGGTATCACAATGTTGTTTAGGCTGCTCTTGAATTCCTGGGCTCAAGTCATCCTCCTGCCTCAGCCTCTGGAGTAATTGAGATCACAGGCATGTAACACTGTAACTGGACTCATTTCATTTATGAACAGGAAGGACCACATTTCATTCAGACAACGTCTGAGGGGAGGGGAAAGTAGATGGAAGAGAATCAGGAAGGAGCAGAGAGAGCCCTTGGCTGGGCTCCTCTCTAGGTAGGAGTCAGTATTAAACCAAAGAGAGACACGACTATGAGACCCAAGTCTTAACATGTGTCCCCTTCATGCCAGTGCAGTATTAGGTAGCCTACTACTATTTCTTTCACTATGACCGTTTATCTACCTCAGATTTAGACTCAACTAAGGCAACTGTTAATCTCAATGACCCCTCTCAACACCTGAGGTAGATACTGTCATATTCTCTGTGCAGTTAGGAAAACTGGGTTTCATGAAGGTTAATTTGTCCAAGTTGTATAGCTAGGAGGTGTTTGAACTGGACATAGAAGAGGCAAGAAACTTCTTGTTTTAAAACTGGGATTTGGGGGGCTGGAGAGATGGCTCAGTGGTTAGGAACAATGGTTGTTCTTGCAGACGACCCGCGTTCAAATCCCAGACCCAAATGGCAGCTAACAACTGTCCATAACTCCAGTCCCAGGGGATCCGACAGCCTCTTCTGACCTCCACAGGCATTGCATGACATGGGTGTACTTACTACATGCAGGCAATACATGCATACACATAAAATAAAAATAATAAATAAAATTAAAAAACAAAACAAAACTGGAATTTGGGTTCCAGCTTAGTCAGTAACCAGTTGTGGAACCTTGACTCTCCAGGTCTCAAGTAGCTCAGGCTGGCCTCAAATTTTCTATGTAGCCAAGGCTGGACTTGAACTCCTGCATCTGCTTCCCCCTTCCTCTCCCGTAGTTCAGGCTGGCCTCCAGCTCCCTATGTAGCTGAAGCTGGTCTTGAACTTCTGCTCCTCCTGACTTCACTTCCCAAGTACTAGGACTACAGTCATGCACTCCCTCTCTCAGAAGCTCTCTTTTCCAAAGGCGATATTATATGTGCTCTGTAAGCCACAGCATTGCTGTGATCAAAAGAAATTACTTTGTGAAGAAACAAAAGTGCTTTGTGAAATGCTGTAAGGATAGAAATCTGCAGACCAGGAGGCCTGAACTCACTCTCCCGCAGAGCTTCTCTATGAATCTCCTGCCCAGCCCTCTACTCTTCTTTCTGTCTCTGAGGGCAGGAGGAGGAGGAAGATGGATGGATGTTCTGCTCTCTGCTTCCACTTACCCACTCTTCCCTCATGGGGCCTCTTTATCTTGATTCTCTTACCAGTGTTTCCTCAAATGACACCGTGGTTGATAACCACCTATACACATCCACTTATCCTAAACCCCAGCAATTTCATTCTTAGGTATTTATTCAAGATGAGTAAAATGTCTTCTGAATACTTGCATGTGAGTGTTCACAGCAATTCTATTCACATTTGTCCAAAACTGGAACAAACTGAAATGATGACTATTGGGTATAGAGGCCTGGGGAGACGGCTCAGCCAGAAAAGCATGTATGTGTCAGGCAAGCGTGAGAGCCTGAGTTTGGAGTCCCAGAACCCAGGCAGCCTATCTGTAATTCCAGCACATGGGAGGCAGAGACATGGAATCCCTGGAGCAAGCTGGATGGCAACTAGCTCAACTGGTAAGCCCTGGGTTCATGTGAGAGACCCGGTCTCAATATATACAGTGGAGAGTGATAGAGGAAGACACTGAATATCAACTTCTGGTCTCCACACACATATGTGCACACAGGGGCATGCATGCCCGCACACATGTGCCCACACGTGTGTAAGCAGGCATATACACATGTATGCACCCCCCCCAATTGTGGTATATTCATACAATGAGATACTATTGGACAATAAATAATAGTGAACTACTGATTCATAGAATATGGATGAATCTAAAAAGTGTTACATTCAGAGAAAGAAGCCAGACATGAAAGTATACTATTATATACTTCCATTTATATGACTCCCTAAAATAGGCAAAACGAAGCTACAGTGATAGAAATCAGAGCAGCAACTGCCTGGAAGACAAGAAATAAAATGGAAAAGGCTGTGGAAGAAATTTTGGGAGGACTGGGAATGCTCAGCATCCTGTGTCTCGGGTACATAGTGTAGATATTTGCCAAAGCAAAACTCGACACTTAAAATCTGTGCACTCATGACATGCAAATTTTACCTCAAACACACACACACACACACACACACACACACACACGCATGCACACACACAAATGAAAAACCTACCCTGGTTTCCTATCTCCCCTTCTACATGCCCAAAAGCATGGATATTGTGAATGATTTTTTCAAATGGTAGTTAGGCTTGTCAGGCAAGAAAGTAAAAATAAAAGTAGAAGTGATTATGCTAAATAAATACTAACAATAGTAAGCCAGGTGTGATGGCCTGTGACTATATCCCAGCACTCAGGAAGCTGAGGCAGGAGGATTGTGAATTCAAGGCTGGCCTGGTGTACATAGCAAGATCCCATCACACACACACACACACACACACACACACACACACACAAGCCAACAAATAGCTGGTGTTTATATTACTATGTGCTTGGGAACTTGAGAAGCATATATAAATTAAACCCTCACAGCAGTCCTATAAGGTGGAACTGTAAGCAAATTTTACAAATGAGGAAACTGAGGCACTGGGTGACTTAGTAACTTACAGCATACTAGTGAACGATAGCATAAGTTGAAACCCAGGATCTGGATGGATGTGGTGGTGCACATCTTTAAGTCCAGCACCAAGGAGGCAAACGCAGGTGGATCTCTGTGAGATCAATGTCTACATTGTGAGTTCCAGGCCAGCTAGGGCTATAGGGAGAACCTGTCTGATACATTCTTCTGGCTTCCGTGGGCATTGCACACATGGGTGCACTTACATACATGTAGGCAAAACACTTATACACATTAAAAAAAATAAATCTAAGATAAAATTAAATAAATTTTTTTCTTGAGTTTTTTGTGTGTGTGGTTTTGGAGACTGAACCTAGGGCCTTGTGCATGCCAGGCAAGTGCCTGCCACTGCATTTAAACACCCCACCCCCTTTTCCTTCCCTTTTCTGTTCTCTATCTGAGACTGGGTCTTATGTAGCTAGGATGACTTTGAATTTCTTTCTTTTAAAAAATATTTTTTACATTTATTTAGTGTGTGTGTGTGGGCACATAATTGCAATGGTGTGGGGGTGGAGAGCAGAGGGAGTTGGTTCTCTCCTTCAACCATGTGGGTCCTGGGGATTGAACTCAAGTTGTCAAGCATGGCTGCAAGTACCTTTAACCTGAAGAGTCATCTCTCTGGCTGGCCTTAAATTTCTTTTT